TGAATGCGAGGAGAATAATGTAAGCTGCTTTGGGGCCCCACTGGGGAGAAAGGCAGGATGTGACATTTGTTATTGTCAAGAAATTGGTTCTCCCAAATTTCTTGTTCTGATTCAAAGCTTGGTTCAGGTTTGAATGTGGCCTGCTTTTGAGAGTTCAGAAAAACACTGCTGAAACAGAGCAAACTGACCTTGTGAGTGTGTAGATAACACCCAGCTGCAGACAGGAGTTGAGAGTCAAGCACAGACTCCCAATTAGCCACCTTCCATCCAATTAAAGTTCATGATTTGCACCTGTGGGAAAGGGCGAGACCAGCTGCAGATAGGTTTCGTCTCCTTTCTCCCTGGTCAGACCACCTTGTACATCATCTACCTAGCAGCTTTACGTCACCACCCAGTAGGGTCGCCAAGCACCTACCTACGAACCAGCGGGGGACACAAACTTCTCCGCCGGAAGATTCTTGCTTGTAACACAGGTGCTACACTATTCCGTCGCCCAGACGTGACGTAGGCACGTAGCCGGGCGACGCTCTGGTAATGGGACTGGAAACTCGATGGTACCATCGAGTTTCCAGCCCCACTGCTAGAGCATCGCCCGGCTACGTGCCTATGTCACGTCTGGGTGACGGAATAGTGCAGCACCTGTGTTTTCCCCGTGGGAATGGTCCCATGAAGAACTATATATCCCCTGCCGAATCAAGGCAAGTACTTGCGAGTCCTGCCACCCAGGGATCCTATTGGTCTTTCAGGCCTGAGACCACATGGACCTGTCACCATAAAGAAGTCAAGTTTTGGCTTATTGCTGGCCTGATTGTGACTACCTAAGATCTGGATATGCAGTCACTATCTTGCTTACTGCAGCCGTCTTGAATGTTTGCATGTGTGGGCCAAACGGCTCGCTGGCCTATGCTGACTCTGGAGAGAGAGACTTTGGATTATTGAGAACCTTCTACAATGCCTGGGTAACATCTGATAACTGGAGCAAATGTCTTACTGTTTTGGTTAGTTCTTAAGTTTCTAGCTTTCTTGTTTTTGCCCCACAGATCTAGTTCACTTTTAAATATTTTTGCACCTTAATAAATAAATATGTTTTAATTTACTTTTGTGGTTATTTGCCTTCAACTGACCTCAATCTAAATCCAGAGTCTTAGACTGGGTGACCACCTACCAAGATAATTGATTTTGTAAGAAACTCATTCTGCAAGCCTACCTTGCAGGGCTGACTTTTCTTGTTTAGTCCCGGGAAGGTTGGAAGCTTGCCCTTTGGCTTCTAATCATGGGGATAGTCTTAAGGGTTGGTGGCAGACTGCTGGACTGGTGTGTGAGGAGCCACACCCCAGGGTTTTGTAATTTTGTGTTCTGAAGCCCTTAAACAAAGATTCTTGGCTTGGTACTAGACTGGGAACCTTTGACAGTTATCAGTCAAATCAGACCTTTTATTACAGTCCATGACCAGAATAATAAAATTAACAATGAAAACAGAAGTATGAGCTATAACAAATCTTATCGCTAGTATATTTATCAATCTAATTTTGGCTGCAGTTTATAGAAAAGGATGATCGCTCTGGCTGTTGCTTCATCCGGTATTGCTGCAACTCTTTCGGATAGGGATGCCAGTCTCCAGGTGGGACCTGGGGATCCCATTGAATTACAGCTCACCTCCAGGAGGGTGGACTCTGTGACATTGTCCCCCAATGAGGTCCGTGTCCTGCTCAGGCTCCAAATCTCCAGGAGTTTCCCAACCTGGAGCTGGCAACCCTACTGCCCCACCAGTATCCAGGGGGACCCAACAACCCTACTTTTTGGAATTAGGCAAAACCAGGCATCCAATACTTAAATTATTGTTAATTACCATGAGCACAGCAAGCTATAGTTTGGTCAAGCGGGCACACCTCTACTACTAAATGAGAGACAATTCCTTAAAATAAGAAACAGGAGGTGGGTCTGCTTCATCAGTAATTCTCTAGAAATTTAACAGATGAGGTTTTTCTTAGAGGAGAGTCCCTTGGTGGGGAAAGCATCATCTGCTAAATTTCTCCTGGTCGGGTTGCTTTCATATAGACTAATTTCAGCCGGGCTAATTTAATAAATATGATGAGCAGCAACCCTCAGTATGGTTTCCATTTTCTGACATGTGTTACACTCTGATTTCACACAAGAACTGCGCCATGGTCGCGCCTTCCTTTACCCCGCTTCTATCAGTCAATTTCCCAATCGAAGCCGTGCGGCCGCATTTTAACCTGCGGCTTTGTCTGATTTTCCCTGCAGTTTCGTGATCCTCAAAAAACAGGTTCACGAAACTGCAGGAAAAATCGGGCAAAGCCGCGGGTCAAAATGCGGCCGCATGGCTTCGACTGGGAAATTGACCAATAGAAGCGGGGCAAAGGGAGGTGCGGCCGCGGCGCAGCTCTTGTGTGAAATCGGTCTCATGGTTTCCAGTAGCTCCATGTATCAGACTCATGCACTGCTCATAGAACACTGCTCTGGGAATGGAAAATCTGGAACTGACAAGAGACCTCACCTTTGAGGTTTAAATATAGGTTAGCAAAGAAATCCAGGGTTGGTCTCTGGAAACTTTCTGTCACCTCAGCGCTGGGTCAAGATCTCTGTTGCCCTTTGTGAAAGAAACTGTGTGTGTAAAAACATGAGGAGCAAGAAATGAGCTGGGCTAGAACCTTCTGTTCAGGGAAATTTACCACACAAGTTGTGTTCAAAAACAATACCTTTAAAATGCAGCCCCAAGTGGTACAGTCTACTCGGCCACTTTACGGTTTCTGCCACATCATTCTCCTGCATGTATAGAGGGAGAGAGAAAGCGGGAGAGAGAGCGATGCCTTTTAGATTTTGTTGTAGTTGTTGCTGGCTGTTCTACCCAACTCTGATGAGTGAGCCCTGGGCCTGGCTTCTCTCCTTTCTCGACTGGCACCTTCTAAGAGGCAAACCAAGCTTCAAGCCCAAAGTTCTCCTCAAGACAGGACCCATGCAAAGAATCCAGGCCACAAGCATTAAAGAAAGGCAAAGTACACAACTACAAAGTGTAGAGCTCTGTACAATGCAGAGAGGACTTCTGTTTGGAAAATGAAATAATGATGGCGCTCCCATTTGGCCTGTCTAGACAGAACATACTGTAGTGGTTAATGGAAAGAACCATGAGGAAAAAGAGTTCCTAAAGAAGAAGAAGAGAAGAGATTGGATTTATACTCCACCCTTCACTACCCAAAGGTGTCTCAGAGTGGCTTACAAACTCCTTTCCCTTCCCCTCCCCACAACAGATACTCTGTGAGGTAGGTGGGGCTGAGAGAGCTCTTGACAGAAATTGCTCTTTTTTCAAGGAGAGCTCTTATCAGAACTATGGCTTGCCCAAGGTCATCCAGCCAGGTGCAAGTGGAGGAGTGGGGAATCAAACCCGGTTCTCCCAGATTAGAGTCCGTGCACTTAACCACTACACCAAACTGGCTCTCACACCAAACTGGCTAAAGGATGTCAACCATAAACACCATAGTGTAGGACTGAGCTGAAAGGGGCAATGCTTTGTCAGCGTCTTTTTGGCAATGTTTCTGGGAATAGCTGCAACGAGGGATGAACATGCACATCGAGGAAGCCTTGCATTGCCCTCACTCCGAATAGGTTTTGTTGGCTTTCTGTGATATCAATAAATAGCCAAACTCGAATTGATGTCCTCATGTTCGCTATGTGATCCCTGATTGCTTAGGATCAGCCATGTCAGCCCAGGAAACACTGACCTTATTCTGAACTGGCTTTGCTTTTGAGCTGTGACATTAGCACATCTGCTATAGCCATATAAATACATGTATATGCATGCTCATAGCTGCAGTCGTGGCATCATCAACGTTGCATGCACACACCCCAAGTCCCTGACCCCCAACCCTTTCACCGGTTGCCAGGTTCGGCTTGGCAACCCTATCAAAAAGGTCACACAGTATGGAGTTCAGAGTCATTTCACTGACCCTCCTTGGCCAGAACGTTGTGGTTATTAATGGGGGAGGACAGGGCTTTTTTTTTTGTGGGAAAAGCCCAGCAGGAACTCATTAGCATAATAGGTCACACCCAACAGCAGAAACTCATTAGCATATTAGGCCACACCCTGACATCAAATCTCATTGGCATATTAGGCCACACCCCCATGCTACCAGAAGGGTGGTCATCCAGCCACACCCACCTTTTGTTTCTTATTCTGTTTACCTTGTTTGTTGTCAAAACCCAGGGCTTTTTTTGTAGCAGGAACTCCTTTCCATGTTAGGCCACACATCCCTTATGTATCCAATCCTAATGAGTTTCTGTTGGGTGTGGCCTATTATGCTAATGAGTTCCTGCTGGGCGTGGCCAACTCAGGAGCCAGCCGGAACTCCGTTCCTGTGCGTTCCTGCCCAAAAATAGCCCTGGGGGAGGATCCTGCAATTCTAACCAGAGAAGGGGATATAAGCAGCATCCCATAGGCCCTGTCTCATCAGCAGATAGGTCCAAACAGAAAGCAGGTCTGATCTGTCAGTCACATAAGTCCATGACCTTTGGAGATATTCTAGAATGCTGTTTTCATGAAAAACTAGCTTTAGGAGATCACACTTACAGAACATAACAAATAGGAATACTGGTAAGGCTGCCTAAACTTCTCAAGGCAGAGAATCAAAGAATTTAGTACACTGGCAGAACTACACACTGGGTAGGATCCAGCTGGGAGATGGGAATTCCTCTATGTGGCCTAGCAGCTCGAGACCCGGGCCAGCTGAGCAAATTCCCCATTCCCTGTGATAAGAACAGGTGCCCGCAGGTCTTGTTTTACCACATGCGCAACCATCTCTTTCCTGTTATCGCGTCAGCATCTGGGAGTCACGTGTATCAGGACGTGCTTTTGATAAAGTATATTTTAATGGTGCTTATGTAAGATCCTGGGAAGGAGGAAGCTGGTGGGATTTCTGAACAGAGAGATAAGTTCCTGGGGAAAGTATAAATTTGGAGGTTTCTTCCAAAAGCCTCCTATTCAAAAAGTCCACCAGCAAAGACACCATGAAATTCATTTTCCTTCTGGCATTCCTGGGCGCAGCAGGTGAGATGTTTCTTAACATGCATTTGATTCTCTAGCTGATATATCCGGTAAACAGAAGGAGACGGGAATGAGACTGAACTGGATGGACTGCTAGCATGGATCATACATATTTTAATGCTCCTTTATGCCATTGCAAGTATTACATCAAAAACAAAGAAACTAGCACAGCAGGAAGCAGTCTGGGCAGAAACTTTCTCCCTGATGCACTAGTTTCTGGTTTTATTTAACTTTCAGTGGGGTTTTCTTTATGAGGAAAAGAGTACAAGATAGCATTCAGGCCTAGATTTTGCTCCATAGATAGGCTTACCAAGTGCCCACTAATGGCATGCCAACTCCAGGTGATTACTCCTGCTCAGTTAGTCGGAGGGCCGAAGCAGGAGGGGCAAATGGAGGGGGCAGTGATCTCCATCACTGAGCAATGACATCACTTCTGGCTAGGGTGGCCAGACCCCCAGTGGAGGCAGGGGTCCCCCACCACCAGGCCCCACCATCCCTCCACCTATCAGCTGGGCAGTGGGGGAATCAGGAAAGGTTTTAGCAGGCACCAGGACACCCATGGATGCCATGTTGGGGACCCCTGCTCTATATTCTTTACCACTGAGATTCTGGGTAATTCCTAGAGTTCACAGAAGCTGTGATGTCCCTTCTGGGTGTTCACCTGGATGTTATGTCACAGCATTTGCACCATTGTCCCTGCCATTTTCCCATCAATCCAGCATGGGAGATGGAGGATGGGAGTACCGGGCGACCTGGTAAGCCTATGAAATGGTATCTCATTTTGGGTTCCTTTTTGCAGACTTCTTCTTGCAGAATTCTTAACATGTTTTTTCCTTGCATTCTTCAGTTGCTGTCCCTGATGACGATGATGATAAGATTGTTGGGGGCTATACCTGTGCCAGGGACTCTGTCCCCTACCAGGTGTCGCTGAATTCCGGGTACCACTTCTGTGGGGGTTCCCTCATCAATGACCAGTGGGTTGTATCTGCTGCCCATTGCTACAAATCGTGAGTGAATTGTGCTCCTTTCTCCATTCTTGTGTTGTTCAGCCACCAGAAGGTGAGGTCCCTCCAAAATCTCCTGCATTCAGTACAACTGCAATATGTAAAGAGTAAGATCTGGCAGGGCTAGCTCCAGGTCACAATGAGGATGGTCCTAAATGGATTACCTTCTCCAACCTCTGAAACCGTCCAGTGGCACCTTAAAGACAGAACAATGTTTCTGTCTACGTGAGCTTGTGTAAGTCACCGCTCATTTTTTTCAGATACGTGGCGATAAAAGCAATCAGAGAACCTGCATGTTCCGTGACAGCAGTTAGGAACCTCTTAGAGTTACAGAAATGTATGGAATGTTTCTCAGAGGTAGCAGAGTCCCTGTTTTAGAAAAAGGCCTCTTGCTACAGGTGATGTTTGATTCACTCCAGAAGACAGTACTTGTTTAGCTTGAGATTTTGCAATGCACACATCTTAGTGCAGGCCCAAAAAATGGTGTTCAAACCAAAAAGAAACACTGTGTAATATATTATTAAATCTATATTCACAAAGTGTGTGCAATTTACAATTGTACCAAAAAAATATTAGTGTCATGCGTCTCATATAGCCATGCGTCAGAAGTTAATGCATCAGAAGGTCCTGAAAGGAACTAAAAACTTTAATGTCGCCCTGACGTGGATAGCCCTAGCAGGCCCAATCTCATCAGATCTTTGAAGTTAAGCAGGGTTGACTCTGGCAAGTACTCGGATGGGAGACCTGCTTGGAATACCAGCAGTCAGGAGGCGGGGGCAGGCTTTACTCAGCCATCTCTCCTTATATCCTCCAGTCCCCCAGTAGGGGTCAGTCACCACGGGTCACCAGGACTTCCGGGTCCACATGCACGCACGCACACACACGCACATATAAAAATACAAAAAATAAAATAAAAACTTTAACGTCCAGTTAAAGTGCGCACAATGGAAACATTGCTCCAGGCTGAAAAACTGTATCATTGAGGCACATTTAATAGAACACTGTTTAGAAAAAGGACATATTATGGAAGATCTTCGATTCTTTGTTATTTTCAAATATGAAAATAAAGGACACAATTGAATGGATATAAAAAGGACTTTATTGCAAAAAACAAACAAACGCCTTTTGAATCCATAGACACACAGGCACCTCATGGACTCAATCAGGATCCGGACTTGTCTTGTTTTATCTAATGGGTGATGTAAAATGGATATTATCAATTTCAAGTACTGGCACTTTAAATTTTATATGGGTCAGCAACAGCTGCTAATGATTAGCAAAGGAAAAGTCTGGCGCAAGGTTTATATTCTTGATGCATTTTAGCTTCTTGTGGCTACATGAAGATCTAGGAGGACTTGTTCCCCATTCAGTATACAGAATGCTGCTAAGAAGGGTGAGAATATTTTAAACCTGTTATGCATACTCTTGCAACCTATATCATGTGTTCCTCACTGAGTTACTGTATGCTGTTAAGAAGGGTGAGTATATGCACTTTTTAAACACTCTTGCAGCCTATAACATATTCTTAAGAAAGGTGAGTACATATAGTTTTAAAGTCTTGTGTCAGTACATATTTTTGAAGTTAATAATTCTGAGTTCTGAGCAAAACCTGCTCTCAAAATGTCTTTTCAGGACCTTCTGGTTGATTATCCTCAGCACCTCTTAACAAATAATACCGTATGGTAGCTTTCCCTGAGGAAGGCATATTTTGAAGGGCACTAAAACCTAAATACCCATACGGCATTTAGCAACCTTGGGAATGTTTCCCACTGTATGGATTGGTGCTTTAATATGAATGTGATGATATTATGTGGCAATTGGAAGAGTGTCTTCATGGCTATATGAGATATATGTCACTAATAGTATATTTTTGTACAATTTGTAACTGGAGCACACTTCATGAAGATCGATTTAATAATACATTACACAGTGTTTCTTTTTGGTTTGTACAAATTTTACACAGTGGCCCTAAATTTAGACACCAGAAATGGTGTTGTCAGATGGCCACTTTTCTGGCCTTCAGAATACATTCCCTAATGGCCTTGGGTCGATCCAGCCTACTGACAACACTGTTCCAAGGCCTCCTTGATATCCTTGAGCATTTGCACTACAACAGGTCAGAGTTGTCAGCAGTGTCCCCTCTAAGCCGAGTTAGTGTGAGCTAGCTCACAATTTTTTAGCCTCCGGCTCACACATTTTTGTCCTAGCGCAGGAAGGATGGTTCCAGAACAAACTCATTTATGCAGCAGCCAAATTGCTCGCTCACAACTTTAATCCAAGTTGCTCACAAAGTAGAATTTTTGCTCACAAGACTCCACAGCTTAGAGGGAGCATTGGTTGTCAGCTCTGGGTTAAGAAACACCTGGAGACTTTGGGAGTGGAGCTTGGGGAGGGTGGGGTTTGGAAAGGGAAGGGACCTCATCAGGGTAAAATGCCACAGAGTCCAAAGCAGCCAATTTCCTTGGGGGGGACGGGGACTGATCTCTGTTATATGGTGATCAGTTGTAATAACAGGAGATTTCCAGACCCTACCTGGAGGTTGGCAACCCTAAACAATGTACTCAAATCCATGTTGCATGTGTGATTTCTCCCCCCCCCCCCCTTTACAGGCGTATCCAAGTGAGGCTCGGGGAACACGACATTTTTCAGCTAGAAGGAGGAGAGCAGTTTGTCAACTCGGAAAAAGTCATTCGCCACCCCCAGTACAATTCTTGGCTCCTGGATAACGATATTATGCTCATCAAGCTGCCACAGCCTGTTGAACTTTCCGCTCAGGTCGCACCCATCCCCCTGCCCAAGGAATGTCCAGCTCCGGGCACCGAGTGCCTGATCTCAGGTTGGGGCAACACCCTCAGCAGTGGTGGTAAGTGTGTGAACATGCCTCAGTCGACACCAACCTAGGATTCCCCAAGCATAGGCCGGGCAAACAGCCGTATGTCGTCTTGCTGTCCCACTCATTGTTTGGTATGCTTTTGGCTAGAATCCTGGTTACTGTAATGGGATACCAGGGTTGTCAGCCTCCACATGGCACCTGGATATCTCCTACTATTACAGTTGATCTCCAGACAGCCAAGATCAGTTGGTTGAGGGAGGGACTGTAGCTCAGTGGCAGAGCAGCTGCTTGGCATGCAGAAGGTCCCTGGTTCAATCCCCAGCATCTCCGGTTCAAAAGATGGGGAAAGAAGGTGATGTGAAAAATCTCAGCCTGAGACCCTGGAGAGCAGCTGCCAGTCTGAGTAGACAATATTGACTTGATGGACCAAGGGGGTCTGATTCAGCATAAGGCAACTGCATGTATTCAGTTCCCCTGGAGAAAATGGCTGCTTTGGAGGGTAGACATGATGGCATTATACCCTACTGAGGTCCCACCCCTCCTCAAACCCCAGCCTACCCCAGGCTCCACCTCCAAAATCTCTAGCTATTACCCAACCCATGGATGGCAACCCTACGGTTCATGTGCCATACTTTCACTGCCCTCTCCCCTAATCCCTGGTATGCGATGAGCAAAACCCACTCTCAAAATGTTCAGGGGCACTGCCATTTAATTTTAGGCTCTTTCCACATGGGGATCCTGGAAGTCCCATCATTAAAGGGTAGGGTTGCCTACTCCAACGTAGGAAATTCCTAGAGATTTGGTAGTAGAGCCTTGGGAGAGTAGTGTTTGAGGAGTGGAAGGACCTCAGTGGGGTACAAGTGTGGTACAATGTCACACATTTCACCCTCCAAAGCAGCCATTTTCTCCATGGGAACTGATCTCTGTAGCTGGGAGATGAAGTTGTAATTTTGGGTCATCTGCTGGTATCACTGCAAACCTATCTAAGGAGGACATCCATTAGACGCCATTTTGCACACCACATGTGGAGTCCATGGAGCATCCCCCTTTGAGCCAGACAAAAATGAGATCTTTGAGAAATCTGCTTCACAGGAAAATGCTTGCAGTAGCTGGTGGAGATTATCTGTGTGGACACTCCCTCCATTTCAATGGGAGAAAGAGGGTGGAGCTCTTTTCCATTTTCAAAATGGTGTTGGGCAGCTCACGGCCATGTGTCATTCGTGCCATTTTAGCTTTTTAAAGGGCTTCTTCTCCTTTGCCCTGCCCAGCTCTGCTGTAGCACAGGCCACAGGCCCCTTTGGAACTGACATTCCTTCTGCACTTTTCTGATAGGGAGAGGGGCAGAACGGAAGGAATGGAAGGTGGTGGCAGTAGCAGCAGCAGTCAGTGGCACGGGAACATGTGTGTGCGTGTGTGTTTGCCCTTCCTTCCCACTCCCACTGAACTTGCTGCTGCTGCTGCCATAGAAGAGACACATTTTGCACCCTGGTCAGGAAGCGGCCTCACTTCAGACATTCCAGACCAAAGCACTAACAGAAACTAAAGCTGGCTGTTAAGCATACAGGCACTTTCCAGGCTTTTCTAGTATATTACAGTTCAGTTATGTAAATGGTCTGAAATTGCCTTAATAATTTTGTTTTGCTATGAATCAATGAAACCCAGGTTCTTTTTTTAAAAAATGTGGTAGTACCCCTAGAAATTGGATAGCTCTTGCTTCCCCAGAAAATTACTGCTGGCCTTCAATACTGGGCTTCTCTTCATTCTCATTCTCCTCACCTGTAAATTCCTGTTTCTTACGGGGTTTTTTCCTGCTCTGCATGTGTTTTGTTGCCTCTAGTGGTTGCTTTGACAATACACTGGCTTATGTCCAGAATAAAAACTTGCAATTTAAATCTGCAGACAGATATGCTGGAGATAAACCAGTGTAATATTGAATTGACCACTAGAGGGCGCATAACACACGTGATACAGGAAAAAAACCCCAAGAAGCAGGAATTTACAAGGGAGGAAAATGAAAATGTGGAAAAATCCTCTTTAGTTAAACTCTGTATCTTCCCTGTTTCTTTCCAGTTAATAACCCTGACCTTCTGCAGTGCGTGGTGGCTCCCATCCTAAGTCATGCTGCATGTGAAAACTCTTATCCCGGGCAGATCACCAATAATATGATGTGTGTTGGATACTTGGAAGGTGGCAAAGACTCCTGCCAGGTGAGATGCTATGTTTTTAGTTCTGCTACTAGGCTAGGAATTCTGAACATTTTCATTAATTGTAAAAATAAATAAGTCTGGGGCTGTTTAGAGGAGGCATGGCTGTCTCAGTATACATACAACTGACAACTTAAGTTGCCGCTTGCAAAGAAAGGAAGGTGAGGGCCAGCATGGTGCAGCAGCTGGAGTAGAATTTAGGAGACCCAGGTTCAAATCCCCAACCTACCATGAAGCTACCTGGCTGACCGTGGGCTAGTCACTGTCTCTCAGCCTAATAAGTCTAAGTAGCAGTTCTCTTACAAAGGAATTTCAGAGGGAGATTAGAAAGAGAGACTGCTGAATTGCAACTGATCATGAAGCTCAAGACAATGCATCCACCTGGACTGAATTGAGACCTAGGTTTTCTGTCTCGTTGCCAATGCTGATTTCTCGATGCCTATTACTCCATCTCACCTCAATCCAATCATACCTGCTATTGTCATTCACCTGCTATTGTCATTTGGCATCTGAAATCACACCACTTTCTCTTGGACCTCTCTGCTTCCTCCTGATATTGGCACCTTTTCCTCCTGACAACTATTCCAACAGCCTCTGAAAACAGTCCTCTTCTTCCTAGCCGTTGGCCTCTGCTTCTCTTTCTCCTTCCTTTCATGGCTCTTTCCCGAAGGGCTTTGCCTTTTCATCAGACTGCAAACCTTCAGGAAAGGTTTGTTCTTGTCAAGACATTCATTCGATAGTACCCCTTGTAGGTGCTTAGTCCTGACCTGGATAGCCCAGGCTAAGCCAATTTTGTCAGATCTCAGAAGCTGAGCAGGCTAGTATTTGGATGGGAGACCTCCAAGGAATACCCAGGTCATGACACTGAGGTAGGCCATGGGAAACCACCTCCGAATGTCTCTTGCCTTGAACATCCTACCAGGTTGCCATAGGTCAGCTGTGGGGGCCCTTTCCACCTCTACCACCACCACAGGTGCTTTGTAAATGGACAGAGAGAAGCAGATGCTTTGGTGACAATATTAATAAGTATAGTTATTGTTACTAAGTCATCTGGACAATGCTGTGAGAAGAAAACCTTCTGTTCATTCTGTCCCCTTGGCTAAAACTCAGAGATAAATAAGTGTTGCCAGGAGATCAGGGGGAAACCAGTGGGGTTTTGGCACGGGACACAGAGAAGAGACGTAACTTGGTCGCCAAGTGAATAAGGCAGTGAAGGAGAGGAAGAAAAAGTCCAGGCAAACTGGTTGGATTCCTGTTTGAAATGACCCCTCTTTCCCTCCCCACCAACCCCCTTTTGTCTCGCAGGGTGATTCTGGCGGACCTGTGGTCTGTGACGGGGTGCTCCAAGGTATTGTTTCCTGGGGAATCGGATGTGCTTTGCCCGATTACCCTGGTGTCTACACCAAATTCTGCAACTATGTCGACTGGGTCCAAGAAACAATCGCCGCTAACTAAAGCAGCCATCGCGCCTCTGGTTTCAACGTATTTGCTTCCTTCTCCTTTTGTTTGATCCATCTAAATAATATCTATGTGCATGCACGCACACTGGAAATAAACATCTGATAATTACCAATTGCCTTTTTTTTCTTCATTTCAAGACCCTCAAGCACTCTGGTTGCATCATCTATGTGAAGGAGGGGCTGTGGCTCAGTGGTAGAGCATCTGCTTTGCATGCAGAAGATCCCAGGTTCAATCTCTGGAATCTCCAGATAAAAGATCTGGCAGCAGGTGACAGGAAAGACCTGCCTGAGACCCTGGAGAGCCGCTGCCAGTCTGCATAGACAATACTGACCTTGCTCAACCGAGGGTCTGATTTAGTATAAGGCAGCTTCATGTGTGTTCATGTGTGAATGGTTTCTCTAACTCATTTGTAAAATGAGCACACAGTTTCAAAACTCTTGTCCACACGCCGCATTCCAGCAGGATCCTGGCCACATCCAAGAAAGAAAAGCACAGATTTCCCGTGGCTTACATGGGACAATGTTACACTCCTGCAATAGGGTTGCTAACCTCCAGGTGGCACCTGGAGATCTCCCACTATTACAATTTATCTTCAGACAATCAGTTCCCCTGGAGAAAATGACTACTTTGGAGGGCAGACTCTAGATGGCATTATATCCTGCTGAGGTCCCGCCCCCCTCCTCAAACCCTGCCCCTTCCAGCGTCCACTCCCCAAATCTCCAGGTATTTCCCAACCCAGAGCTGGCAACCTTTTGACCTGTATGTAAACTCAAAGTCCATTTCCAAGATGGTTGAGAAACTAAGGGTGAGACACTGAAGTCCTGGGATTAGAAATTTCGTGTCACTTCTCAGTTGGAGCCACATAGTGAAACAAAGCAGGCAGAAACAGAAACAAGTTCTTTCTCACCCCCCTTCCACCATTCCCTTTTATTTGTATACAGGTTTAAATTGAGGTCTCAGAACTACATGAATATCTTGCAGAAATTCCATCTCCCCTCCTCCACTTGCTCTGCTAATCTGTTACAGACAGTTGGAGGTTGCCCCCTACTGGCAATTTCAAATATTATTATTTTTTCCTGAAATGCAAAGCAAAATCTTCCACAAGACATCTAAGCAAAAGTCCTGTAGCACCTTAAAGACTAACAAAATTTGTGGCAGAGTATGAGCTTTCATGAGTCACTGCCCATGAAAGCTCATCCCCTGCCACAAATTTTGTTAGTCTGTGAGGTGCTGCTGGACTCTTGCTCTTTTCTACTGCTACAAACAGACTAACAAGGCTACCCACCTTGACCTATAGACATCTAAGGATGCACACAGACATACCTGCAATCAGGAGGACTCATTGTAGTTTCTCTTAGCTCCAGCGCAGTTGACCTGCAAACTGAATTCTGATTCAATAGTTTCTTTTACCAGTCTGGTATGTTTCAGACAGACTCTCCCCCCCTCCCCAATTCAATTAACTGTACAGTACCCAGTCCTTTCTGTTTTTTTTTTAAGGCAATTTAAAAAATGTTGACAAATTTCTCTAGAAAGGAACAGAGGAGGTAGGCTGGTGATGACACTGGTTCCAGCCAGTCAGCACTGTGCACTGCTTGCTTCTGCTACAGTCACACAGCACACAGTTTCAAAACTCTGATGGCTCAGATTTGAATTGCTTGCACTGTTTGGACGTCCCTTGTTGTTCACTTCTAAACATTGGAGAGTAGTGTTCAATTATGTTTCCACAGTAGATGTCTCCACGTATTTATGGAGATGTGCCTCCTTATCACGCCTTACACCTTTACCTCAAAGAAACACTTCCCAAACCTAACTTGGTATAATCTTTGGGGAATGATTGCTGTCAAAACAGTCTTGCACACAGTGTGGATGGGGAAAGGTGTGCACCACTAGTACAGTGATCCCTAATGCGATTGACGCCCATGGAGCCATCAATGTGCTTTCTGGCACCTGTTTCTCTGTTCTGCAATGAAAAGGGCTAGAGAGTTACCTATTTTTTTTTTTTAATGAAAGCTGGGATTCAGAGATAATGATAATAGATCGCTAGAATGTTAGTGCACAATAGCAGGTGCTGATTTTTTAAAAAATGCCCTCTGGTGGTGTGGCAGAGAAAATGGTGGCCTTAGTTGCACAAGAATGCAATTACAATATACTTGCTGTTAAGAAGGAATATAGTGAAGCAACCTGCCAAAAAGCCATGAACAGGTGGACGATAGACAAACTGTTAGATGAAAAACTGACTCCCTGACTGCCACTGAAGAACAGGAAATGAGCCAAACCAGTGGGTGTTCAAACATCCCTAACCTCCAGTTCCTCCTCCGTGACTGTGACGCCAGTAAGCTCAGACCTGGCCAGGATGAACAAAGGTCCAAGGGGGAAATTGCCTGTTGCCTCCTGCACAACCACTGTTGAGCCCCTGTGCTAAGTCAGTTCCCTCCTCCTTGTGGGCGAATGATCAGCTAGGGGTTGCTAACTCTGGATTGGGAACTACTTGGAGATTTTGGGGGGTGGAGCCTGAGGAGGGGAAGATTTGGGGAGGGGAGGGACTTCAATGGGGTATAAATGCCATAGACTCCACCTTCCAAAGCAGCCATTTTCTCCAGGGGAACTGATCATGGTCATCTGGAGACCAATTGTAATAGTGGGAGATCTCCAGGTGCCACCTGGAGATTGGCTACCATAGGATCGGCCCTGTACCGGCTCCCAGCCAAGTGGACCAGTCACTGCTTCTAACTGCCCCTTACACTGTATCTACGGGTACCAGCGACATAAACATGCTTGGTTTGGGAAGGAAGAAATGAATGTTTGTTTCTAAATAACAGGATGATTAAGCTAGTTGACGCTGATGTCCTTGCTGGTCCCTTACACCGGCCACAAAAATAAATCCCTTATAAAACAGACTCTTGTCTGTTTGTTTTGCTGCCATGGCACTGAAGCCGAGCTTTACAGAAATGCTTCAAAATTAAGAAATGTTGAAAACATGTCAGAAGCACGAAAGCTTTGACGGTGAGGATGCGGTAAAAAGAACACGTGGCAATTGCTTTTTCATTATAATATTTGTATCCCACCTTTCTCCTCATAAATGGACTCAAGGTGGCTAACAAGACAACAGATAAATAAATCAGGGCTTGGCCCACCTATTTCTCCTTAATTCCCTGTAGAAAATGAACTGGACCCTCTATCAGGCTGCCTCGTACAGAAGTTTTCCTCCAGTTTCATGTTTATTATTATTATTGTTGTTGTTGTTAATAATAATAATAATAATAATAATAATAATAATAATACTTTCCATTTATTAATCGCTTTCCCCAGTGGGCTCAAAGCGATGTACAGTTACTCCATATATAGACAAGGGACTAACAATGTTCGTAGGGGATAGGGAAGACAACATATATTGACTTTAATTGCACGTGCCGTCACTGCCCGGTGTAGACGTCTTCTGTCTGGCTCCGTCATTTTCCCGCACGGCTGCTTGCTGGCCAGGCCTCAGGACCCGTATGTCAATCACCACACTGCCACCGCCTGGCCGGAACATCCATTGCAGGCGTTCTTTTTTGTAGCCGGGAAGCTATTTTGCCTTTACAAGCCTTGACCAGAACGCCCGACCATCAGCTAACGCCCTCCCAGAAGGGAGGTTGGAGTTTAAACTGGAGCAGGATTATTTTGGAACACACGTATGACACTGTCCCCTGATTATCCACTGTCCATGTTTCTCCCTGCTTTCCTTTAACCTTCCCCAAACCTAACTTGGTACAACCTTTGGGGAATGATTGCCATCAAAACAATCCTGCAACAGTGTGGATGGGGAAAGGTGTACATATTTTCAGGCTCTGGCCAGATACGCACCATTTTCCTTTCCTCACCTCCCTTAAACTGCCATTCCCCCTCTTGCTATGATGGGGGCTGGTGGGTTTTTTTTTAAACAGTACTTGATGTATCCCTATAGTCATTTAGTCATAGTGATAGGCCAATTACCAGTTTTAACCTACAAAAATATGGTGATTACTCATCTAAACAAAAAGCCCTCGGGTGGTTGTTGTTGACAGGAAATGGCGGCCACAGGGGGCTGAGGCAAGAAAGTGTGGGAAATGTTCTGCATTCACAGTGGCAAGCAAAAAATTCTTAGGATGTGGAAGCAGCCTCACAGTTGGTGGCATTTAAACTGTGAAGGGTTTCAGTTACACAGCAGAGGGCAGTATAGACAATAGTAAAAGTCCCTTTTGCCTCACCTGAAGGGAAACCTGCGTAGGTACACCTGAAATGTAGCTGGTGCCGAAGCCTAGTTCTAAATCAGTGTTCCCTCTAAGCCAAGTTAGTGTGTGCTACCTCACAGTTTTTTAGCCTCCAGCTCACAGATTTTATGTCTTAGCTCAGGAAGGATGGCTCCACAGCAAACTAATTTATGCAGTAGCCAAATCGCTGGCTCACAACTTTAATGCCAGTAGCTCACAAGGTAGAATTTTTGCTCACAAGACTCCATAGCTTAGAGGGAGCATTGGTTCTAATTGAGGTATTTGCTCATGGGTAGGCAGGGCCAGCTCGAGGTGTTTCTGCGCCCTAGGTGAGGCTGCCTTGTGACGCAGATGCCAACCTCCCGGTGGGGCCTGAAAACCTGGAGACCTCTGGAGCCAGCCACCATTTTGCTGCCGCCACCACCACCTCCTCCCCCCTCCCCGTCGCTACCACCGAAGGAGGGGAGGGGAGGAGGGAGGGAGGCGGGACCCACTCCTTTGCCCCTGCGGCCCCTGGCCTCCTCCTCGGGGGGCGAGGGAAGAAGAAGAGGGCAGGGCGGAGGGAGTCTCCTCTGGTCGGAGCGGAGCGACTCCTCTCTTTGCCACCTGCTGCCTGCCTCCCTTCCCCAGTCTGGTCCTCTTTTCCAACAGGACAAGCCATGCAGCACAAGCCCCCCCCCCCCCGCCCCCCCCGGCCTTTGCAAGTGGCAAGCACCACATACGTAAACTTGGCTGCAGAGTCTGGGGGCGGGCAGGTGGCACTAG